CGTGCTTCATGGGCCTCCTGATCCAGAGGCGCCCAGCTGGCTGTTCAAGACAGCTGCAGAGAGTCTCGATTCGACACACCTCTCACGCAATTAGTGCCTCATGGATCTGAAGGGGCGCTCAATTGACCTCCAAGACGGCTCAAGGGAGGCTGGATTCGGCACACCCCTCACGCATTTCTTGCCTCATGGACCCCCCAGATGCTCCCAGCGGGATCTCCAAAACGAAACGGCGCAAGGGGACCTCAATTCGGCATACCGCTCACGCATGTCGCGCACTATGGGCCCCTCAGAGATTGTCAGTTAGGCTCTCAAGACGGCTGAAGAGAACCTCGATTCGGCACACCCCTCACGCATTCATGCCCCATGGAGGTCCAGAGACTCCCATTCAGCCTCTCAGGATGGCTCGAGGGAACCTCAATCGGGCATACCCATCACACAATTCGTGCCCCATGGGCCCCAAAAGACCTTCGGTGGGACCCCGAGGCCGACAGATCCCTCAACGGACGCCCAGATGGCCCAAAGAAACATTGCAACGCTTGGTGCCGACCCTCCGTGTCCCGACCACTCGCCGATTCCCAGATCAGCGTGCGAGTTTCCCCTGGAGGCCCTTCGTGACTCTAGCTCCCGCTCTGCGGACTCCACAGCTTGGAACGGGCCGTGCCTGCCCCCACCCTCGCCCCCTTCTGTCCCTCGCCCTGAGCCCCAGCAGCCGCTGTCACCCTCTTCCTCGCCCACATGCTCGTCTTCGTTTTCTCACTAGAAGAAGGAAGCACGCCATGTACCACAACCTTGGGCGCTCCGCGCGGATTTCTTGGATCTGCGCTGGACCAACAGTTTATGTGTGTGGCGTCTCTTTTCCTTCGACTCCTCCTCGCCCACATGCTCATCTCTTCATCCTCTCGCACTCCGCTTGTTGTAGTTGGTGTTGTTGGTGTTGGTGTTGTTGTGGTTGGTGTTATTGTTGTTGGTGGTGTTGTATGTGCTGCTGTTGTTGCTGCTGCTGTTGTTGGTGCTGTTGCTGTTGTTGTTGCCATTGTTGTTATTGTTGTTGGTGGTGGTGGTGTTGCTGTTGAGTACTCATTTCTAGAGAACAATTATTGATGATCTCCGGAAGCGGTTCCGGGCGCTCTCGCCTCGACGCTGGATACATTTTCTCTGAAAGCGAGGCTCCCGCTCGAGCGCTGGCTTGACCCTAAAAGTGCGCCCTGGGAGGCCCAGCTACAACAACAACGGCTCCCGCTCGATACTTCCTCACAATTTACCTCGAGACACCCTGGCTAGAGAGGCTCGAACTCAGGAACGGCGCTCTCGCTCGAGACTTCCTCGCAATGCAATCAAGTTGGCGGGGGCCCAGCCACGACGACAAGGGCTCCTGCTCGATACTTCTTCACTACTCGGAGAGCCCCTGGCCAGGAAGGCCCCCGAACTCAGGAACGGCGCTTTCGCTCGACACTGTCTCCTGATTCAGTCAAAATGGTGGAGGCCAAAATTGGACGACAAGGGCTCTCGTTCGATAATTCCTCAAGATGTATCGCAGAGGCCCTAGCCAGAGAGGCCCCCTAAATCAAGTGTGGCGCTCTCGCCCGAGACGCCCTCGTCATTCAGTCAATTTGAATTTGATGTGGGCCAAGCCGCGACGACAAGGGCTCCCGTTCGTTACTTCCTTAAGCTGTACTTCGAGAGCCCGTGGCCCGAGACTGCAATTCAGTAGCGGCGCCAGAGGCCCACCTGCGACGGCAGGGGCTCCCGCTCGACACCCCTTTAATACTCCTGCACGACCTGGCCAGATAGGCCCCCAAACCACAAAGGCCCCAGCACGCTGCTCATTGAGGCCTTCGGACACAGCCCACAAAAGCTCCAAGCGCGCCCACAGGGGCGCCAGCACGCTGCCCACTGATGCCTTCGGACACAGCCCACAGAGGTCCCGGCGCGCTGACCACTGAGGCCCCCAACACACAACTCACCGAGGCCCAGAATAAGCCCACAGGGACCGTAGCATGCTGCCCGTCGGCCCTCCGGCACAGCCCACATGGGCGCCAAGCGCGCCCACAGAGGCTCCCCCGCGCTGCCCACAGAGGCCCAGCGCGCGCCCACAGAGGGCCCACGCGCGCTGCCCCCCGACACAACTCACAGAGGCCCCAGCCGTCAGAGGCCCCAAGCGCGCTGCCCACAGAGGCCCCAGCCCACAGAGGCCCCAAGCGCGCCCACAGAGGCCCCCGCGCGCTGCCCACTGAGGCTCTCGACACAGCCCACAGATGCCCAACCCCCCGCCCCAAGCCTGCCCACGGAGGCCTCAGCGCGCTGCCCACTGAGGCCCCCCATTTCACAGAGGCCCCAAGCGCGCCCACAGAGGCCTCAGCCCACAGAGGCCCTCAGCGCGCCCACAGGTCCTCGCGCGCTGCCCACTGAGGCCCCCCGTTCCACAGAGGCCCCACGTGCGCCCACAGAGGCCCCAGCCCGCAGAGGCCCCGATCGCGCCCACAGAGGCCCCCGCGCGCTGCCCACTGAGGCCCCCTGGCACAGCCCACAGAGGCCCCAAGCACGCCCACAGAGGCCCCAGCCGCAGCCCGCAGAGGCCCCAAGCGCGCTGAACACAGAGGCCCTCCGACACAGCCCACAGAGGCCCCGAGCGTGCCTACGGAGGCCCCAGCGCGCTGCCCACTGAGGCCCCGACTTCCTACCGAGGCCCCACACGCGCCCACAGAGTCCCCAGCCCGCAGAGGCCCCAAGCGCGCCGAGGCCCCCGCGCGTTGCCCACTGAGGCCCTCTGGCACAGCCCACAGAGGCCCCAAGCGCGCCCGCAGAGGTCCCAGCCCACAGAGACCCCAAGCGCGCCTACAGAGGCCCCAGGCGCGCCCGCAGAGGCCCCCGCGCGCTGCCCACTGAGACCCCGGCCCACAGAGGCCCTAAGCCTCCAAGCGTGCCCACGGAAGCTCCAGCTGCCCACAGAGGCCCCCCGACAACGCCCACAGAGGCCCCACGCGCGCCCACCGAGGCCACAGCCCGCAAAGGCCCAAGCCCCCGCCGCAAGCGTGCCCACGGAGGCCCCAGCGCGCTGCTCACTGAGGCCCCCCGTTCCACAACGGCCCCACGCGCGCCCACAGAGACCCCAGCCCACAGAGGCCCTGAGCGCACCCACAGAGGCTCCCGCGCGCTGCCCCCTGAGCGCGCCCACAGAGGCCCAAGCCCGCAGAGGCCTCAAGCGCGCCCACAGAGGCCCCAGCGCGCTGCCCACCGAGGCTCCCGACGGAGCCCACAGAAGCCCCAGCCCACAGGCCCCAAGCGCGCCCACAGAGGCCCCCGCGCGCTGCCCACTGAGGCCTCCCTGACACAGCCCACGGAGGCCCCAAGGGCGTCCACAGAGTCCCCAGCCCGCAGAAGCCCCGAGCGCGCCCACAGAGGGCCCACCGCGCTGCCCACTGAGGTCCCGACGCCACCCACTGAGGCCCCAAGCGCGCCCGCAGAGGCCCCAGCCCGCAGAGGCCCCAAGCGCGCCCACAGAGGCTCCAGCGCGCTACCCACTGAGGCCCTCCGACGCAGCCCACAGAGGCCCCAGCCCACAGAGGCCCCAAGCGCGCCCACAGAGGCCCCGGCGTGTGCGCACAGCCCACAGAGGCCCCAAGGGCGCCCACAGAGTCCCCAGCCCGCAGAGGCCCCAAGCGCGCCCGCAGAGGCCCCTGCGCGCTGCCCACTGAGGCCCCCGACGCAGCCCACAGAGGCCCCAAGCGCGCCCACAGAGGCCCAAGCCCGCAGAGGCCCCAAGCGCGCCCACAGAGGCCCTGGCGCGCTGTCCACTGAGGCCGCCGACGCAACCCACAGAGAGGCCCCAGGCCACAGACGCCCCAAGCGCGCCCGCAGAGGCCCCAGCGCGCTGCCCACTGAGGCCCCCCGACACAGCCCGCAGAGGCCCCAAGGGCGCCCAAAGAGGCCCCAGCCCGCAGAGGCCCCAAGCGCGCCCACAGAGGCCCCCGCGCGCTGCCAACTGAGGCCCTCCGACACAGCCCACAGGGGCCCCAAGCAGACGCCCCAAGCGCGCCCACAGAGGCCCCGGCGCGCTGCCCACTGAGGCTCCCCAACGCAGCCCACAGAGGCCCCAAACGCGCCCACAGAGGCCCCAGCCCGCAGAGGCCCCAGGAACGGCGCTCTCGCATGAGACTTCTTTGCAATTTAATCAAGTTCGCGGATGCCCAGCCGCGACGACAAGGCTCCCACTCGATATTTCTTCGCGATTTGCTCCGGGAGGCCCTGACCAAAGAGGTGCCCGAACTCACGAACAGCGCTCTCGCTGGAGACTTCCTGGCAACTCTGTCAAAATAGTGGGGGCGCAGCCGCGATGACAAGGGCCCCCGCTCGATGTTTCCTCGCCATTTGCTCCGAGAGGCCTTTTCTCGTGATCCATTCTTCTCTCCCCCCATCCCCCCCCTTCCCCAGTTTCAGGGGCTGCGCTAAACGTGCATGGAACGTGAGGAAGAGCTACCCCCGAGGGGGTGGTGTCGAAGACAAAGAGCGCGGATATCGAGGGATTGGGATTATACGCGTTGCGTGGCACGCGATCGAATAATAACAAACAGTCTTAATAGTAGTGTGGCGTTGCTGTTGTTGTTGCTGCTGTTGATATTCGTATCGTTAATAGCAGTCGGATTCTTATCAGTATTATTCGTGTTAGTATGGTTCGTACGGTCACTCGTATTATTAGGATGAATAATATTACCATTACTATTCGTAGTATTATTAGTATTCTGAATATTAGTAAATGTATTACTAGTTTTGGTACTGGTGTTAGTATTGTTGTGACTGTGGCTGTTGTAGTTGTAGGTGTTGTTGATGTTGTTGTTGTTGGTGGTGGTGGTGGTGTTATTGCTGTTGTGTGTTGTGTGTTGTGTGTTGTGTGCTGTGTGTTGTCATTGCTGCCCCTCTCATCGCCGTGCCGCGCTCCGCGCTCTGACGCTCCGCCTCTCTGCGCTCTGCGGCGCGGGCTGCGGCCGTGCGCACGGGCGCACCACGTCGGCTCCCTGGTGGGGTCGGCGGTCTGCTTCTTCCTGGGATGGGGGAGGCTGCCGCTGCTTCAGGTCGGTCATGCTCCCCTACACGCGGATTTCGAAAGAACGAATCGACATCGACAAAAACGACTCCAGCATAGTCGAAAGAGCATGAAACATCGTCTCCAGACTATGTTTATACTATGTCTCCAGACTATGTTTATACTATCTCCTGTAGAGGGACGTGCCCGACTGAACCGCTGCTCCTCTCTCTCTCTCTCTCTCTCCTCCTGATGGGAGCGGCCCTGGAAAACCGCCGCTCATTAAAGAACCCCCCGCGCCAGTAAAGACTGGTGCACAGGGCGGAAGGGGCAGAGAGAAGAGAAGCGAGCCCAGGAGGAAGAGACGCATCAACATCCTCCTCATCCTCCTAAACTTCTTGTCTCAGTTTTCCTCCTCCTCCTCCAGCAGCAGGAGGGGAAGAGGTAAAGAGGTAAAGAGGTACAGGACAAGAAGGGGGAGGAGCAGGAGCAGGAGCAGGAGGAGGAGGAGGAGGAGGTGAAGGAGGAGGAGGTGGAGAAAAAGGAGGAGGACGAGGAGAGGCAGGAGGAGCCCTTGGTTCTGCGCTCTGGGGCAGCGGCCCGGCCGCCAAGAGGCGGCGCTGGCCACCTCCCCCGCCCGCATCCGCTACCCCCCTGGCGAGCCACGCCGCCCATTCGCTGCGCTCCCGCGCCGCCTCCGCCTCCCGCCGCCCGCCGCCCCGCCGCCCCGCCGAGTGGCACACCCGCTGCCGCGGGCCCCAAGAGTACACACTGCCACCACTACCTCATCCCACTCCTCCTCCCCCTCCTCCTCCTCCTCCTCCTCCTCCTCCTCCTCCTCCAGCTCCTCCTCCTCCTCCTCCTCCTCCTCCTCCTCCTCCTCTCCTCCTCCTCCTCCTCCTCCTCCTCCTCCTCCTCCTCCTCCTCCTCCTCCTCCTATGGCGAGAGGAGGGAGAGGGGCGAGGGAGGTCGTGGTGGCTGGTGGTGTCTACACCTTAGCCCCGCAGCTGCCGCTGCCGCCGCCGCCGAGGGGCCCCCTGCGGCAGGGCCCCTTCGGAAGGCCGCGCGCGCCGGCCGGCCCCCCTGCGGGATGCCGCCCGGCCTGCCAGGGGACACCCGCGCCACGCACGGTCCGAGCCGGCGGCGCCCCGCCGCGGCGAGCGCTCGGGCAGTGCCGCTGCCGCCGCGCGGCGAGGCGCGGCGGTGCGGAGGCACGGCCGTGCGCCTACCGCAGACGAGCGCATTGCACTACTCGCAGAATAGCTGCTCGCAGATGGCCTGGGCCTGCCGTGGGGGATGCACGACCCATCACGTCCAGGCAGACATGTGCTTGTCGGACGGCTGCGATTGGGGCAAGTTGCGAGTCGTGGCACGCGCTCGGTGATACGGGCGAAACTGTACCATGAAGGATCTCGGGCCGGGAGCAGCGGGACTCCAATCGGGGGCCTTCGCTTCCAGAGCAACTCACAACAGTTCTGACAATGCACGGCGACGCCGTGCAGAGCATCGCTTGCGCGCTGCTCGGCGCTGCTCGGCGTCGCTAGGAATCGCTGGTTGGCGCTGCTTGGACTCACTCGGAGCTGCCTGGCATTCCTTTGAATTGCTTGGCGTTGGTTGGCGTTGCTTGGCATTGCGTGGCATTGCATGGCATTGCTCTGGCAGTGCGTGGCATCACGTTGCGTCGCGTGGCGCCGCTGTGCACTGTTTGGCATTGCTAGGCGCTGATTGGCGTTGAATGGTGCTCACGTGCACGTCGTTGCATGTGTGTTGCATTGCTTGGCGTTGCTTGGCATTGCTTGGCATTGGCTGGCTTTGCTTGGCACTTGATGGCAATGCTTGGCATAATTCGGCAATGCTTGTCGTTGTTTGGCGTTGCTTGGCATTCCTTGGCATTGTTTGGCATTGTTTGCCCTCGTTTAGCCGTACTCGGTATTGCTTGGTATTGCTTGGCATTGCTGACATTGCGCGGCATTGTTTTGGATGGCTTGGCATTGCTTGGCATTGCTTGGCATGGCGTGGCATGACTCGGGGTGGGTTGCTTGGCACTGCTCTGCATCGACGTTTGCATGACACTGGCCACCACATGCAGCCACGAGGCATGCTTTGCTCGTTTCCGACTAGTACACACGAGCGCCGATCCGAGAAATCCGCGCGGACCTCCGAGCTTTCATGTTTGTGTCATCCATCGTTCCCCTACGCATGGAGCCTCGAGCTCCTTCCGCAGCCAAAGGGGTGCGTACTCCAGCGCTTTGACTGCTCCTCGCCTGGCCCTCTCGCCGCAGCCGCCAGCACCCCCCGCCACGCCCCTCGGCAGGACGTGCGCCCGCGCCGCCCCGATCGACCCCTGCAGCGGCAGGCGGCCCAGCAGCAAAAGCACAGGAGCAGGCTCGGGCGCTGCTGGAGGTGGCCCCGGCCCGGGGTGACCCCGGCCCAGGGTGCACGCAGTGAGGCGAGCCGGGCTGAGAGAGCTCGTCGAGAGGATGCGACCAGGAGCCCTACGCCGAGGTGCTGGAGAGGCTAGAGGGCAGGGTGGGCGACACCGCCGTGCCGCCGCCGAGCTGCTGGGGCACGTCACGGCAGCGCGAGTAGCCCCACCATCGCGCGCAACTTCAGTCGAGCAGGTCGCGCTCGGAGAACAGCTCGGAGCTTCGCTGCCCCGATGCGCAGGAGCTCAGCACGCAGACTGAAAGCGTAGGTCTGACGCGATGCGCTCGCCAAGACGTTGGCCAACACGTTGAGCCAGCACGCAGCGTGTCAGCACGGACGTTCTGAACACGGGACGTGGTGCGTTTCAAGACGGGCGCATCGAGGCACGAGGGTGACCCTGGCATTCCCAGGGAGGCCCAGCCCAGGGGGCCCCATGAGCTGCAAAATGGCGCGAAAAGCGGGGGGGCACCTTGGGCCACTCTTACCTCTAGCGCGGAGGCAGCAGGCGACCACAACCACATCGAGGGCACGCCCAGTGGGGGATGTCGATGACAGTGGGGCCACCGAAGCCAACACTGTACTGGTTGTGGTTGACGTGGCGTCCCAGGGCGGTCAAATCGACCATCAACCACAACCAGAGTGATCCTGTCGAGGTCGGTGAGTTCTTCACACCGACGGGCCCTCCCGAAAAATCCCCGCAGTAATGGTCATGGTTCTTTGCTGTGCCTGCATTACCTCTACCAACCTCCAACAGGTGACGCAGAATGGGCGACCCGGCCCTCGCGCGCCGCGCGCGCGACAATACGCGGCGCCGCATACCCTGTGACGGAGCCGTGCGGCGGCAGCATCCAGCGACGCGCAAGTTCCGCTGAAGTTCATCCTCGCGCGGCGCTGAGGGGACGCGTGGCGAGACGGGCCGTGCAGCCCTCCACTGGTTGCGGGGGAAGAACGGCAAGCGGGGGGGGGGAGGATTAAGGCCCCCCGAGAAGGCCTTCGCGGGACGGGGGGAGTCCCCGAAACGTCCCGACCAGAGGAGCAGGAGGATGAGGAAGAAGAAAAATAAGAAGAAGGAAGATGGAGGAGGAGGAGGAGGAGGAGGAGGAGGAGGAGGAGGAGGAGGAGAAGGACGAGGAGGAGGAGGAGAGAGGGGAGATGGGGGAGACGGAGGAGGAGGAGGAGGAGGGAGGAGGAGGAGGAGAGAGGAGAGGAGGAGGAGGAGGAGGAGGAGGGAGGAGGAGGAGGAGGAGGAGGGAGGAGGAGGAGGAGGAGGAGGAGGAGGAGGAGGAGGGAGGACGAGGAGGAGGACGAGGAGGAGGAGGAGGTTACGATATTACGACTTCAGCGAGGCGCATGTCACAGACTAGCGCCTCGGCCGTTGCAGGCGGCGCCTGCATGAGTGAGCGCCAGCTCTCTGCGTGGAGAAAGATGGCAGGGCGGGCGCTCGAAAACACAGGCCACTGCGAACGCAGAGGCCAAGCTGGCATCGGCAGCCTGCTCAGAACAGCAGGCCGCCGAACGCCCAGCTACCCCTCCGCAGTCCGAGTCAGACGTGGACCCCTCGGTCCGCGACCCCTCGACATGAGAAGCACCCTCTGCGCGCAGCCGCGCATTGACAGGCTGAGGCACAGGCTTGCCCCGCTGCGCCGAAGGGGAGGGGGCGGAGGAGGGAGTAAGCTGGGGTCCCTGCGCCACAGAGTCCCCGAACGGAGGGCGCAGGGGGGCCAGAGGCGCACAGGATGCGCCAGCTCGCTCGGTGCGCGGCCTGGCCTTGTCACGTCGATCCCGCCCGACCGACGCCCCCACAGACGACCGCCCGACGCCCCGCCCCCCATCACTATCGGGAGCGGCCTTGTGACCCTCGCGCAGAGGGCGGGGCTCTCCCAACTGCCCTCCTGGCCGCGGAATCCGCACCTCAGCAGCTGAAGGAGCCTGACCCTTGCGACAAAAAAGCGGCACTGGAGGGGGCCACGGGCGTGGGCGTCGGACAGAGCTCTTTGCCCGTCCGTGGATTGAGCCCGCGTTTCGCCCTCCTGATCTGCATCGGATGATTGGCTCGCGTGCTAGCAACACGCGAGACTCCATAACACACTACCTTCAGCTGACGGCAAGGGCCGTCAGGGAGTATGACATAACTGGCACTGGCTTCGCAGATCACAATCTGCCCATACCTGGTCGGATGGTGCCCTAACCCCCTGAAGACCTCAAGCTCGTCGGCAGGGCCGTCCTGGCTGGGAGGGGCAGGGGCAGGAGGCTGCACGGCCAAGTCGAGAGCAGGGGGGGCCAGGGACGGCCTGCGGGAGGGCAACGCCATCGAGGACCGCGCGTGACATTCTCGCAAAGAGAGTCCTCGCTCGCCACCGCTGGACATTGGTCGGTCGACAGAATCTCCCCGCCCCCGTGCGCAACCCCTTGAGAGTGTGCTCAGTCCTAGCGACGGCGTTGCATTGTGCACGCCGCCGCTCCCGCCGCTCCTTCAACAAAAACAGCTGATACATCACCGCCGCGAGGCGGTCTCTAGGCGGGGCCGCACGATGGGGGGGATCCTCACGGTCAACCCGTGCCGCGTCGGCAGTGATGATCTGAACAGCGCGCGAGAGGACACTCCAGGTCCGTTTCACCGCTTCCCGGCGGGAGGACTCGGCATCCACGGCCACTTGGGCCACTCGATGCTCCATGGCCCCCAAGCGAGCGAAAAAATCGGCCCAGCAGTTTCCTAGGACATCGCGCAGCACTTCTGAAGGGGCCGCGGGGATGTCTTCTATGTCCGGATGGGCTTTGACCCTTTGACCCGCACAAACTCGAGAGGCCGCTCGGGGAGCCGAGCGATCTCACGCCATAAGTCAGAGCGCAGTCTTCTCGCTGAGGCCTGCTCTGGGCTCCAAGCCAAGCCCTCTGCAACAAAGTTCAAGCGATCCGTGCGAATGGCCCTGAGTTTGGGGGGGCTACCTTGCAGGCCGCGACGCCAGCATAGCGCGCGGCCCCGGGCACCGACTAGCGCCCTGGCAGCGCTCCAATAACCGCACTAACGGGCAAACCACAGTCCAGAAGCTCGACGACAGCCCATCCACACCTCCTCAGTTCTGGGCTCGCATTCGCTAGCCCAGAGCCGTCGGTGTAGACGCGCTTTCCTCAGGGAAGGTGCGTAGCCCCCCCAACTGGAGACAGGGCACTGCCGGGCCACTGGGCTGATCTTGATGGGGTAAAGAGGGATCCCGTACGCCAGCCCCAGCGCGCCCCATGCAAAAAACCCTGTGCTCCAGGACATCAGGCGGCAGGGGGTCTAAGTCGAGCTCCACAGGGGTCACTTGCAGGGCCCCACAGTCGCGCAGCTGGCGCCCAAGACCCCCAACGGCTTCAAAGGTACACAGCTCACACACATTTGTAGATAGCAAGCCTGCTTGATGCTTGCGCTCAGGAAGCCATGAGGCGGTGCAAGGAGGCAGCGGGCACAGCCCTCACGATGATAGTTTTTTTCACTGGCTCTGTACGCCCAGCCGTAGAGCTCGTCGCCAGGGTCGCACATGTAGACCTGCAGCCTCTGGCATGTGACTGAGGACCTTTGCCATTTGCCATCGCCCCAGTGATGCCCGCAGCGCCAACTTGACGTCGTGCGGTGGCCATCTGAGCAAATCGTACGTAACCTCCTCGTCGTCCACGAGTAGACTCGCTGCCTGCATAGACCATCCAATTCTCTTGAGCGTGAGCACAACTGCCGAGAGCGGCCAAGCACACTGCATCCAGGAGCCATGGTCGGCGACGGTAGTGGGCAGGGCCATCCAGGCACGTTGCAGACAAGGAAGAGAAAACAGCCCATCCCATACCGTGGCACAGTAGCGCATGAGCAATACAATGGTCGTGCCGAACACGGAGTCCAAGAACTCCTCGCGCTGAGTGGCTAGCCGAGCCGCGACGCTGGCATGATGGCGAGCCCCCGCCACGGCGCGCAGCTTCTGGAGAGCACGGGGTGTCGCCCCGCAGAAGCCAGCCCCGTGAGCCGCCGCGGGCAGTTGCCCCGTCCTCCAGAGAGCATTCGTCTTGCAAGGGGCTCCACGTCGCAGTGCACGTATTCGGCGCTGGCGAGCTCCGGTAGCGAGAAGGCGCTTCCTCTCCTGAATCCTGCGCATCTTGGACCCCGTGAGCTCGCGTCCCAGGTTGCGCATATGCATCTGACAAGCGATCCCAACGGACTTGGCGAATCGCCCAATGTACCTCCTAGAGACATGCGTGCCCGTCACGCAGCCACTCTTGTCCGCCTGTATGATCAAACCCAGCGGCTCCACCTCTTGGACAAACCATCGAACGGCACAGAATGAAGCAGCTTGGCCCGCCCCGCACTGGGTCCGACCCATTGGAAGCTGACGTCATCCATTAAGGCCCTTGGCGTGACCCGCGGGACAGTACGTCGCAGGCGCTCAAGGACATCGCGGAGCAGGAGGAGCAGCATGGCACATGCGCGCGAGCATCCTGCAAGTATTCCTTGAGCCGAGGAATAACACGTAGACGCAGATCCATACGTCCGAATCAACCTGGGCTGCCGATACAATGACAGTAGTAGCCACGCCAATCTCATTGGGAAATCAAGCCTCCGCGCATGCTGCAACAAAGCTTCCAATCGACAAGTTTCGACACGTTTGCACACATCAATCAACACACTCACCGATTCTTGGTTTTGTAGCCTCGCCACCTCTGCCATCAGGTTGCGCTGGAACGCGGCGTCGCTGGAGGTGGCCCCAGCCCTCGCGCCCCAGGAGACCGTCGCGCCATGCCTCTGCTCTCACGCCTTGGACAATGGGCGGCGTAGTCGGCTCCAAATTCGCACTAGTGCATTGATCAGCGCGATCAGGCGATGGCCCCCCGGGACCTTCGGGAGCCCGACAAGGACCGCATCCAGCCGCGCACCAGGCCAGAAGCAAAGGCCCTCGCACTTGACGAAAGCTCCGCCATCACCTGGAGGCCGATGTCTGAGGCCGCCTGGAGGGCACGTGGCTGGATGCTAACTTCCCCCAGCGCTGTGGAGACCTTGAACGTGCGCAAGACCTGGCGCACCTCCTTCCCGTCGAACTGTGGCAAGTCGCCCCAGCTGCGGGTGTCAGGCGGCGTCCGCAACATTTCGTCGCCATGTAGGGGCCTAATCTTGGCCCAGTGCTGAAGGCAGGCGTCGGCCACGTGGCGCGGCTGCCCCTCATCGATCGCGTAGCTCAGGGTCTCCTGGGGGTCGCGGACCTCGGCGTGCATATGGGCGACCGCGGCCCCGTTGACGAAGGCCTTGGTCGCCCGGTCGGTCCACTCCTGCGCCTGGGCCTGGCTGATAACCCTGATGGCCTTCTCAACCTTGGTGATGGCCTGCTCCGCTCGCAGCTCGAAATCGACTGAATAGAACATACCATGCAGGTCCTGGATCCCAAGCCAACTTGGCCATGAGAGCAGCCTCCTTTTCCTCATCAACAGCAAACAACCCGCATTGACCCAAAGCGCGAGGTAGGAGCCTGGCAGGAAAGATATCCTGCTGGCCCCTGCGCGAGGCGCTGCAGACACCGGGGCGCGCGTTGGCACGTGGACCGAAGATGCCCGAACCGACGCCCGTAGATCTTTTAGGCCTGCAGCCTGCGCGGAGCAGACGGCTGCGCAGGCTTGACCTCCTTCCATTCCCAGCGTAGAGGCCCCGTGACAGTGATGCGCGTGGCCCGCTCCTTGCGGTCGACGATGTCTCGTCGGTCGAGCAGCTCCCTTCGAGACCTCGAATCGTAGCATCCAAGGCCACAGCAATGCCCTCTGGCGCCCGCGCAGCGGCTATGCCGCCACGGACGCGCCGCCAGGCCTCCCACGGGGGAAGGCGCGCACAGCCAGGCTTCGGAATAGGTGGGGGCCTCCGAGGTTGTTGAAGCACTCTTGCCCATCTCCGATGGCATGTGTAGCGCAGCGAAAGCTGGGCAGGAGGGTGGGGAGGTATTCGCCCCTTCCAGTGCGTGCATGCCCTGCTGCCATGTGGCTAGAGAAGCTGCCATGCCAAAGTAATCACGCACTGTGCCTGGCTTGGCGACATGACATGTCGGTGCATCTGCGTGGGCTCCTACGCCACGCAGAGAGTTGAGCCAAGGCAGGACGGTGTCTGGATCCATGTTCCGGTCTCCCCCTATGAGCCACGGTATCTGCTGCGCATTGAGGCCAGTGATGTAATCCGCTAGACGTCGCCGCACAGAAAGATTGCCTTCGCTGAGGCCCCTGGAATCAATGAGGAAGAGAGAGATAACGACTAAACCACCTGAGGGCCCACAGTGCACATGCGAGACCAGCGCCCTGCCTTGGGCAACCTCAGGCTCCGGTAAGTCTGGTCCAAGGCTGACGCGAATATGTGATGGAGCGATAACTGCAAGGCCTTCGCAGGTACCTCCCCGCACCGTGCTGGGCGCTGCCGCCCGGGCTCCTGTGAAGCCCGAAGGAGTGGCAGCATGCGCAACGTCAGGTAGCCGCTCAGCATCCGCACGGTGCTCTGAAGCAGCACCACAGAGCCCGCACATTCGGGCATGCTCAAAATGTCGCCGATGGCACCACGGGACGGCGCGGTGACCGCGGTCATCGAGACAGGCGCAGCTCCACAACGCAGAAACCGATTCGCCACACGTAGAGGAATCCGCAATCTCGACAAAATGTAAAATCGGCAGGATGGGCGAACAGGGGCTCTGGCATCCGTAGGCTCGCGAGGCGGGGCCCTGGGGGCAGGATCGCCAGCAAGGTCAGCACGCGCCAGACCACCAAGCGAACGCGTCAACGCAGCTCGCCCCCCCGCTCTGCCATGCAGGTGCACCGCAATCCGAGAGACGTGTACATATAGAAGCCATACACACTTTGGTGTCCTCATGCAAGGCCGCACCCATGCTACGGGTGCCTTCGAGTACGTAGCAGCGGCTCTGGCTCCTGTCGCCCGGCCGGGCGCGGCCCTCTCGGGGGGGGGGTCCATCATTATAGCCAGCACACGCAAGGCTGCCCAGCAAAAAGGCCAGCATCAGAGCTCGCACCTGGCCCGGGAAGGACCACAACGACCGCCAGGAACTCGAACCTCCAATCAGGAGTCCATCGGTAGTCCATGTCGCCAGGAGCATCACGAACAAGTCACGCATTGGGCTTTCTTAGCTTGGGCGCCAATCACTGCGCCGCCTCGCCCATCCGTTCGACGGCTTCTCGCACTTGGGAGTCATCAGGGTCGCCTCCTATAGATGCCTGCAAGAAGGAGCGCAATTCTTCGATGTCGTCGGTGTCCATGGGGACTGCGCGCGCCTGGGCCTCCGCCTGCCGCTCGGGCGTAGGCATGCTGGGGCCAGCGGCACTGCCCCTGGCCTCCGCAGGCGGCTGCGTCCCGTCGTCTCGAGCTTCATCACGCTGTTGCTGGTTCTTGTTGGCCAGCTCGCGCAATGAGGCGAAGCATGAGGTGACGCTGCCAGACAGAGCGGCATCCGCCCCGAGTCCTTTGAGGATGTCCCCGAGCGCCTCCGCTGAAAGGTCGAGCGCGGGCACCATCGCCTGCAAGCTGCCCTGGGACCGCGGTGGGCGCCTTGGCGGAGACCTACCACCAGTGGGCCTCCAACTCCTGGATGTCCGCATCGAGGCCCGCGAAGACCTTCTCCGTGTCGGCAATGGCGGCATCCAGCCGCTCACGTTCCTGCTGGAAACTGGCGAGCTCTCTCTGCTGGTGGGAGCGCTGCTACTCGAATGACTCGATGCGCGCCGTGTAGTGATGGAGCTGGCCAGCGAACGGCTTGCCACGCACGATCTTCTCCTTGATGGCGTGCGTCTCCGAGATGAGCGTCTCTCTGGCGACACGGAGGGAGGCCTCCTTGGGGCTGTCGCCCAAGACCTTGAAGCCGCTCGCGATCTCCATGAGGCACTTCTAATCGGGATCCTCAGCATCGCTGGCTTCGCCTGCTGCCACCGAGGCGTTGCCACTTGCCTGCAGCTGTTCCCACAGGCGGGCGATCTCCACGTCTTTCTCCTGGAGATTGTCGCGGTGCTGCTGCTCGAGGCGGGGCTGCTCGATCCTGGGCGCCCGCACACTCGGGCTGGTAGACACTTGCTTGGCACCTCCAAAACTGGCCCCCTGAGCTGAGGGCGCACGAGGTGAGGTCGCCACGGTTCCACCACTTGTCGGCTGAGCGGAGATGAAAACACCATTGACAATACCAAGGCCCCGCCCAAGCTTGTCTATGTTTCCCTGCTCCCGACTTAACTGGCGAGCGAGAGGAAGAACCATGACCTGCCATGGACGAGGGTTAATGGGACGAAGGGACAAAGAGGGCTGTGGTGGAGGGTATTTTAGCAAGGTGTGTCGCCTGTGCAGGCGAACGCGCGCGACTGGGGGCCGCGAGCTCCCCCCCGCCAGTCTGTCTGCCAAACCCGAGCCAACGCTACGGATTTGAGCCAGAATGGCTACGGAGAAGAGGAGGAGAAGGAGGAGGAAAGGAGGAGGAGGAGGAGGAGGACAAGGAAAGGCGGAGGAAAGGAGGAGGAGGAGGAGGAGGAGGAGGGGCACGGGGCGAGGAGAACTGGGGCCCCCGAGAGCAGCCGCGGAAGGGGGCCGTCGGTCTTTGTTGAGCAGGAGGAGAGGCACCAGGGCCCGAGGGGGGAGAGCAGCTCCTGTACGCCCTGTACGCAGCCAGCCCGCAGGTCGCGGTCATGATGGCGAGGAGCGTCACGATGTACCAGGCCACGCCGGCGTGCCTGTAGCGCATCGAGAACGACAGCAGGCCCGATCCGTCTGCCCTCCCCAAAGGGGGGGCGCGTGTGCCCGGAGAAACCGAGCGATCCCCGGCTGGCTTCCCCCTGCCCGGCAGGGGATGCAGCCCAGCCCCAAGGGGGGACCCAAGGCACGAGACAGCGCGAGAGAAGAGCAGCGCCAGGCCTGCCTTACGCCTCCCTCCTCGCCTCCACGGAGGGAGGGGCACGATTTCTTTCAGATGGGGCGCGCGACAGTGCTGCCTTCTGGCTTTGTCTCATACCAAAGAAGAAACCACACAATCGTCCATTCTCCACCCCCCTCACCTCCCCTCGTCTTCTTCCCTCTTCCCACCCATCCTTCTCTCCATCTCAACCTCCTTTCCTTCCTCCGTCCTCCTCCTCCTCCTCTTCCAACTCCTCCTCCAACGCCTCCTCCTCCTCCTCTTCATCCTCCTCCTTCTCGTGATCATCACCATCACTATCACAATCACCACCACCACCATCATCATAATCATCATCATCATCATCAGCAGCAGCAGCATCAGCAGCAGCAGCAGCAACATCAGCATCTGCATCAGCATTAGCGTCATCATCATCACCACCATCATCATCATCACCATCATCATCTTGATCAGCATCATCATCAGCATAACCATCACCATCATCAGCATCATCGCTAGCATCATCAGCATCATCATCATAATCATCAGCAACACCATCATCAGCAGCAACATATCCATCATCATCATCATCGTCATCACAAACAGCATCAGCATCACAGGCATCAGCAGCATCATTATCATTTTGATCGTCATCATCATCAGCGTCATCGTCAGCATCGTCATACTCACTATCATCATCAGCATCATCATCCCCATCATCATCACCATCAGCATCACCATCATCATCAACAGCATCATCAGCAGCACCATCATCAGCATCAGCATCAGCATCATCATCATCGCCACCACCATCATCATCATGATCATCATCATCATCATCATCATCATCATCATCATCGTAATCAGCATCAGCATCATCATCAGGATATTCGTGGTCAGCCTCGTCACCAGCACCACCACCACCACCACCATCATCATCATAATCATCACCATCACCATCATCATCGGCATCGTCATCAACATCATCATCACCATCACCATCATCATCACCATCATCACCATCGCCATCATAATCGTCATCGTCGTCGTCATCATCATCAGCACATCGCCATCACAATCACCATCACCATCACAAGCATCAGCCGTGGCAGCGGCAGCGGCAGCGGTAATAGCATCATCACAATCATCATCACCACCATCATCATAATCATCATCATCATCA